CAGGCTGTGCACTGACAGTGCAGGGCTCAGACTCACCAACCATGAGCTCATGACCTGAGCTGAGACCAAGAGTTGGATGCTTAACTGACTAAGCCACCCAGGTGCCCCTAATTTTCTTTAAAATCAGAAGAAATAAGCTTTTAGGTCTAAGAGAATGGCTTACTACATAGTATTAAGATTTGTCTTTATGCCAGTAGTCTTTTTTTTTTTTTTTTTCTTTTCTATCCACCTTCAAGCCAAGAGAAGCATACATTGTTGGGAATGGGCCAACATGGCCTTTATTGGTAATATTTGATATTTCCAAAGAGGAAGGGGTGCCTGTGACTGACGGGGGCCTGGGGAAGAGGGAAGGGAGCGGCCACTTTACGGGCCTGCAGGCAGCACCATAGGTGCCTCCGCGGGAGCCCGAGTAGGGGTGGCAGTGGAGGAGCCTGCCGGAGTAGGTGCTGAGGTCGGGTTTTACCAAGGGGACCCGCAGGGACCGCCTAGGGGCAGCAGCAGCCCACGGTGGGGGAGGCACGTGGGATGCTCTCCAGAGGATAGAGGGCCTAAGAAGGAACGGCGGAGGGGCTGAGAGAAGCTAGGGACCCAGTGCAGGCCCGTCCTGCTGCGGGGATCCCCCTGCGTGCCCTCCTGTCTGGCCACCCCTCCAGGCCCCGGGGTCCCTGGCCATGCTCAGCTGAGGTCCCAGCTGGCTGTACTGATGGCAGTGGCAGGGTGACCGTCCAGGCCTCCAGGCAGAGTCCCATGCAGGAACTCTCTAGAAACTGTACCCAGCACCACAGGGTTCCTGCCCCCCCGTCCCTGCCCAGGGGTTGTGGTCTCCTATCCCCTCCAGCCCAGCCCCTGCCCTGTGGGGGCTGTCTTCCAGGCTCCCGGAAGGGCATATGGACTTACGTTAATACTGAGGCTTGCTGTCTTTAATCAAAGCCGTATATTCACGTAACTTAATTAAATTGTTGTAAGGCGCCTGGGTGGCTCAGTAAGTTAAGCGTCTGACTTCAGCTCAGGTCGTGATCTCAGGGCTCGTGGGGGTAAGCCCTGTGACCTGCTCTGAGCCTAGAGCCTGCTTTGGATTCTGTGTCGCCCTGTGTCTCTCTGCCCCTCCCTGCTTGTGCCTCCCCCTGCCACACACATACACACACACACACACACACACACACACACACACAAATAAACATTAACAACAACAAGGAATCAAATTGTTCTACGTGGGTTTTCTTTTTTTAAAAAAAGGTATTGTTTTTTAATGTAATCTCTACCTCCAACATGGGGTTGGAACTCATTGTCCTGATATCAAGAGTCCCATGTTCAGTGTGGGACTGAACCAGTCAGGTGTCCCTCAAAAAACCATTAGACAACTTTTTTTTTTTTTTAAAGATTTGAGTTTTCTTTTAAACCTCAGATTCCACCCACCCCCCATTTCCAGCTTCATTTCCCTCCATTGCTGGTGTATTTCATTGGTTGTTCTGGTAATTTCCTCTTATCTCTGGTGTAAAGGGCATTCTGGAGACAATTCATACACCATACAGTTCACCCATCGAAAGTGTGCAGGTCAGTGGCTTTTAGTGTATTTACAGAATTGTGCAGCCATTGCCGCTCTGTTTTAGACCATTTTCTTGTCTTTTTTTGGGGGGGAAAGAGAGAGGGAGTTCAAGTGAATGAGGGGTAGAGAAAGGATGGGGGAGAGAGAATCCCATGAGGACCACAGAGAGACAAAAGGAAAGAGAGAGAGAAGCAGGGCTCACCCAAAGCCGGTCTTGAAATCACCCGATGTGGGACTCGAACTGACAAACCATGAGATCATGGCCTGAGCTAAAGTCGGATGCTTAATGACTGAGCCACCCAGGCACCCTACGCCATTTTCATTAGCCCCCAAAAGAACCTCCCTACCCTAGCCACGGATGTATTTCTGGTCTCTGGATTTGCCTATTCTAAATATGTCTTATGATCAGGATAATATAATGTATGGCCATTTGTGTCTGACATCTCTCTTTTTTTTGAATGCCAAATTATATTTTATTTATTTATTTTTAAAATTTATTATTTTTTTAAATTTACATTCAAGTTAGTTGTCATAGTGCCGCAGTGATTTTAGGAGTAGATTCCTTAATGCCCCTCACCCATTTAGCCCACCCCCCTCCCACAACCTCTCCAGTAACCTCTGTTTGTTTTCCATATTTAAGAGTCTCTTATGTTTTGTCCCCCTCCCCTTTTTTATATTATTTTTGCATCCTTTCCCTTATGTTCATCTGTTTTGTATCTTTTAAAAATATTTTTAAATGTTTTTATTTATTTCTGAGAGAGAGAGATTGACAGCATGAGCAGGGGAGGGTCCGAGAGAGAGGGAGACATAGAATCTGAAACAGGCTCCAGGCTCTGAGTTGTCAGCACAGAGCCCGACACGGGGCTCAAACCCATGAACCGTGAGATCATGAGCTGAGCCAAAGTCAGATACTTAACTGACTGAGCCATCCAGGCTCCCTGATCTGTTTTGTATCTTAAAGTCCTCATATGACTGAAGTCATACGATATTTGTTTTTCTCTAATTTCGCTTAGCATAATACCCTCTAGTTCCATCCATGTAGTTGCAGATGGCAAGATTTCATTCTTTTTGATTGCCGAGTAATACTCCATTGTATATATATATATATATATATATACATATACCACGTCTTCTTTATCCATTCATCCACCGATGGACGTTTGGGCTCTTTCCATACTTTAGCTACTGTTGACAGCGCTGCTGTAAACATTGGGGTGCATGTGTCCCTTCGACACAGCACACCTGCATCTCTTGGATGTGTCTGACATTTCTTAATAATAAACTTGCTCAGTTGTAGGTGTCATTTATGGACTTACACCGGAGAAGATGAAGATTTGGGGTCCCCTTTGCTCTACCCCACACACAAGTCCTATTCCTGTCTTCCCAATGGCTTACATCACAGTCATGACTATGTAAACTCTACACAGATATTAATAAGCCATAATTAGTTTTCCTTTCCTGTAGGGTTTTTGTTTTATTTCTCGTTTTTTATTTTTCCTTCTATTTTCTATGTGTTTATATCTAATTAAATTCAAACCGCCAATTCCTTAAATCTTGCACTAAAATCTCAGATTTGAGCTGTTCTATAATTTCCTCTTCCTGGAAGACTTCCTTTCCCAAAGTTTTCCTTATCTGCTCAGATGGGAACTACTTGTCCTCTGGCCCCAGTACTGCCATGCTGGGAATCCCCGTCTCTATTCTACAACTAAATCTTCTTTTCCCTGTACCCAACCCAGTCTTCCTCCTGGGTCTCTTTCACTTTGCTGTATCACATCCTCTTATACTTTTTCAAAAATGGAACATAGGCAGTAATTTTTAAAAATCTTTGTCTGAAAATGGCCTTATTCTACCTTCAATGATGTAGACTTTTAGCTGGAAATAATTTTCCATCGGAATGTTATGAGTCGTTGCTTCATTGCATCTAACTTGTAATTTAAAGTTATTCTTATATTTGAAGTTGGTTAAGCCTCCTATTTCGGCTCAGGTCATGATCTCTGTTTTCGAGTTTGGCCCCACAGCAGGCTTTCTGCTGTCACTGTAGAACCCACTTTGGATCCTCATCTCTCTGCCACATCTCTCTGCCCCTCCCTCTCTCAAAATAAATAAACATTAAAAAAAAATTAGAAAACCCAGGTAAAGTCATACTTCTATTTGATCTTTTGTAAATGAACTTTGTCTTTTGTCCTGGGTTTTTACTTTGTCCTGCATGTTCTGAAACTTCACAAAAAGCTGTTTTGGTTATGGGCCATTTTTATCCATTTGTGTCAGGTATGTGATGGGCTCTTTTTTTGATTATTATTATTTTTTCTTTCATAGTTTATTGTCAAGTTGGTTTCCATATAGCATCCAGTGCTCATCCCAACAAGTGCCTTCCTCCATGCCCACGTGATGGGCTCTTTAAATCTAGAAACTCCTATCCTGGTTATGGAAGATTTTGTTGAATTATTTTGTTGATGATTCATTTCTATTTGTGTGTGTATATGTGTGTGTGTTCTTTTTTTTTTTTTTTGGTGGTGGGTGGAGCTCATTTTATCCAAGTGTTAGGCTTCCTAAACTGCTCTTCTAAATTTCTTATTTTTTCTCCTTTTTTTCATCTTACGACTTTTTACCCTACTTTTTGGGAATGTTCCTCAATTTTACCTTCTGACTTTTCTACTGAGTTTTTATTTATGTCATAATAGTTTCAATTTCTAAGACCTTTATTTATTTATTTTTTTGTTCTCTCAATGTTCTTTTAAAAATAGCTCAAAAAGGGGCACCTGGGTGGCTCAGTCGGTTAAGTGTCTGACTTCAGCTCAGGTCATGATCTCGCAGTTCGTGGGTTCGAGCCCCGCATCAGGTTCTGTGCTGACAGCTCAGAGCCTGGAGCCTGTTTCAGATTCTGTGTCTCCCTCTCTTGCCCTTCCCCTGTTCATGCTCTGTCTCTCTCTGCCTCAAAAGTAAATAAACTACAAAAAAATTAAAAAATAATAGTTCAAAAAGCATAATTTGGAAAAGTCACACATAATGATCAATTCACAGGTATGATTCTTGGGGGGTTAATTTTTTTGAAGCAATTTTGGACATACAAAAATATTTTAAGAATTAAGAAAACCCTCAAATTTTTAACATTTTACCATCTAATATTGGTTACATATCTGTCTCTCTATTCATTATCATCTTAGTTTTGATGCATATCAAAGTAAGTTACAGATATCAGTTAGCTTCATCCCAAACAATTCTGAATGCATATTGTTAACTAGAGTTCAATATTTGTTTACATTTTTTTGGAGCAGCATTTATATACAGTGAAATGATCACATCTTTTTTTTTTTTAATGTTTATTTATTTTTGAGAGAGCATGAGCAGGGGAGGGGCAGAAGGGGGCGGGGGGGCGGGGGGGGGGAAGAGGATCCCAAGCAGGCTTTGACAGCATAGAGCCTGAAGCAGAGCTTGAACTCACAAACAGTGAAATCATGACCTGAGTTGAAGTTGGACGCTCATTCAAATGAGCCACCCAGGCGACCCTGAAATGCTTACACATCTTTAGATACTATTTGTTGAGTTTTGACAGTTGCATAAACCTTTATCAAGATACAGATATTTCTATCACCTCAGAACATTCTCTCAAGTTTCCACCGATCCCTGGCTCCATCCTGCCTGGAACGGCAGAAGTGGTGGCCCCTAGATCCCCCTGAGCTCACCAGGGACACTCTCAGCATAGACTGGAGTGGGACCAGGCCTCTCTGGACTGACTGTCAGTTGCTGCAGCAACGACAGGGTCCCATACAGGGCAGACAGGGGCTGCTTGGCTTCCAGATCCCAGGTTGACACGGGTCTATTCAGTTCCATTTTCAGGCCACACTCCTCCAGTAGGCCATAGGTGATGGCTAAATCCTCACCCTGGAGTGGGGCAAGGAGCTCGGGTTTGAGGGTGAAGGGAATGTTCCAGGAGTATTTGAAGTTAGGCTCTAGGATGCTCCTTACCTAGAGTAAACAATATCAGATGTTACATGTCAGCATTTGAGGTCGGGAAGAAAAAGTTTGTCCTAAGAGGGTCATGCAGGGTAACTGAAAGGGATAAGAGCTTTTGAGTCAAGGGGGCCAGGAATCATGTCCTGGTCATGCCCTGTGATCATGTAATTGTGGACACGTTATTGGAAATCACTGAGCATTGTTTCCTCAACTGCTAAATGGTTATATTAACATTTCCCTTGCAGAATAGTGGTATTTGGAATTAGATGTGTGTATATATCCATACAGGTGTGCAGTGTGTGTTTATGTATATGCGTATTCCTGTGCACACATATATCCTTAAATATACATATGTGGAGACAGAAAGAGCTATTCCCAAATGGTAACTGCATAAATAAAGTGGGGATATGACTTAGGGGCTCTGAGTTCCCAAACCTGGGTTCTTATATGGCTATTTTAGAACTGTGGGGGTGCTCTGCAGGGGTTGCCATGGAAACCGAGATCCTCCTGAGGCAGATGTCTACCCACTGGGCCTGTTCCCTCAAGGGAGATGCAGCCAGGGATTTCCCAGTTGCCAAAGCAGGATCCTGTCTCCCTGGCAGAAACCTGGATCATCTTTTTTTCCTCAGATTTATTCTTAACTCTGGTTTTTTCACCCTCTTCCCTGGCCACTGGCCCTTGAGAATGTCTCACCAGCTTTTGCTGCTGGAGCAGGATCCTCTTTTCCATGGACTGGGCCAGCAGATCATGTTGAGTGTCACTCAGCACTGGGAACAGGGGGACATTTGGAGAAAGAGTGATGAAGAGTCAGATTTTCCTCTCCCCGCTGTGAGCTGTGAGACCCTATGAGAGGGGAAATCTGAGGCAGAGGAATAACCCATTGGACTTTGAGGGTCAAGTTCCCTTTACTGGAAAGTCCACCTTCTACTTTTGGAATGGCCTCCAGAATGCTACATGATGTGGTCCAGAGGATGGGATCCTGAGGCTGGAGCCTGGACCTGTCCACCCATAATGATCTGTTGGATGGACTTGGGCTGGTCACTTTCTAGACCTCAGACTGGTTCTCTGTTCACATGGCAAATTTATCTCACTAAACCCTCTGGACATTGGAGAGAGGGGATATATGAGGATGAAGATCATAATATTTGAAGGGTTTTCAGGAAATGGCATCGAACCCATGGGTTTCGCGAGGTCTGAAGGCCAAACTTGTGACTTTACTACATTTCCCCCAAATCACTCTTACCCAGTATGGCTTCAAGGAGGTAGACGATGTGGAATCTTGCCTGGATCCATAGGTCTCTTAAGTCCTCTTGCATCTCACTCAGGATTGTGCCACCAAAGTCATCCAGATGATCCAAGGGGCTCTCATCCAGCTGTAGGAGACCGGGATTATTGGTAGTAAGATATTACCACCATTACCTACTACTACTACTACTACTACTACTACTACTAGTATATAATTTTGCCTGTGTCTTTTAAGTGATCAACCAAGGTGGGAGGGTCAGGGCTCTTGACCTCCCCCAGGGGATTCCTAGCAGCCCCAGTATTTGAGGTTGCACTCCTGGGCCTTGTCATTGTGCCTGGGGCCAGTGTCCTGGATGGCTGACATCCTACCCTTTCCCCTGGCATTACTCCCTCCCCCATGTATCTTGGTAGCCATATTTCCTAAACCTGCCCCTTTTACCATTCTGATCAGCCCTAGGTCGTTTGAGGAACCCCTCACCATGTCCATGAGATCCTGCAGAGCCTCTCGGTTCCCAAGCATGTTCAGGATATTAAGGAATATAGAATCCTGAGTGTCCTTTGAGAGCTGGGCCAGGGCCTCCATTTTCTGGGAAATCTCCTCATGTAGTTGCTTGAAATCTGCCCTCAGTCATCAGCATCAACCAGAAAATGGGTATAATCCTTTGATTAGAACATTCCTGGTATGATAAGCCCTTCCCCATCAAATATGAGCCCTTCTATTGACCCAAAGCATCTCTGTGTTTGGCATATCTGAGCTCTGGGAATGGGCTAGAAATAATAGACTAGAAAACAGACAATTCTAATGCCATGAAATTAGAGGGATAGAATACAGGGAGCAGACATGGAGATTCTGGTAAGGGGTCATGGGAAGAAGAAGAAAATGACTAGGTGCTCATTTCTGGGATGTAACTAACATAATGTGGATTCTGTGGTTGGGCTCTTAGAGGTGAGGATCTGAGCTCGTGACTCAGTTTCTACATTTGTTACATGGGGATGTTATGAGGGATTAAAAGAGTTAATGTATATAAAATGCTTGGGCAGTACCAGGTAGACATGAGCCATTCTTCTTATAATGTAATTCTACCTGTATTGTCTATATCCATATGGAATTAACCAATAAATGGATTTGGGGGCTCTATGCTTGTCTGAGGAGACTTTGGGTGGACTCCAGATGATCTGCTGAGTGAGAGGTCACTAGAACAGAGGTGCAGTGACACAGGCATTTCTGTTTGGTTCACTGCTGTATCCCTAGTGCTTAGAGTAATGCCTGTTGCCCAGTAAGTTCTTAGTAAATGTTTTTTGCAGGCATGCACAGATGAACGAAGGAATGAATCAGTGGAGCTGTGACCAAAGTGTAAGTTTGCAAGTAGAACTCAGTTTTCTGAGTTGCATGGAAACCAATCTGGGTTCTCAGCTCTGCAGTTCCCTACCCTGGAGACCCTGGATTCTCTCTTGATAAACACTCACCTTGCCAAAGGACTCTCGATATTCTTCCTGGAAAGAGAACCACAAGGAATCATCTCTCTTCTCATGCCCAAATTTGCTTTTTGAGACACTTTGGAGGGTTCTGGTCTTTCATCGCCTCCTCCCTCTTGCTAGACCTCTTTCTGCCCCAATCCGGATGGATCCCTCCACCCCCTAGCCTTCCTGGATTCTTCCTATTCCACAAGAACTAGAGCCATTCCCTAGGGCAGTGGTGGCAAAGGCCGGGGAAATCTGCCCTGCTCACCAGATGATTGCAGCTTGAGATCCACACTCCTGACTCCAGCAGACATACTCATTGGGGACATGTGACCATTTTCATCAGCGACTAAAAGAGAAATTATACCCCACATCAAGAATTAGCTTCTGAAGACATTCGGTTTCTCTGGCCTTCTGCCCCCTGCACCCCTGCCTCCCCCCCCGCACCCCCTCTCCTTTTCATCTGTTCCTTCCCTTTGCCCAGGGGCCAGATCCTCCTGCCTTAGGCAAGGACAACAGAGGCAACTCTGGGGGGCTTTTGTGCAAAGTGGCCTCATGGAGGGATCAAGTCCCACCTTCCTGTCTCTAAAATCACCCACTCACCTGATACCTGCATCGCTTGTAGCAGGATTGCCTCTGGAAAGAGAAAGGGAAGTGCTCATTCACAAAGCCTTAGTCTCCATTCCTCCCCTTCTTCCTCCCAACCTCTCCCTCCTCTTTCCAACTTTCTCCTCCTTCTCCTCCTCCCCCAGATTTCTTACTTCGTTCCACTACTTCAGTTGATTGAGAGCCTAGGCACGTGGAGACCTTAGGCAGCATACCCACAACCCTATCTCACAGTTCAAAGGGGAAAGGTGGCTTTCTCTGTGGCCAGGGGCTGGTGCCAAGGTCAAAGGCAGGGGAGAGGAGGACGTGGTGGAAAGGCCTGGCTGGAAAGGTTTCCATGTGGGTCTGTGGGGGCTGAGTCCTGTTCACAGCTCTTACTAGTATTGGAAGGGGATTAGGGCTCAGCAGGGTCTGAGTCTAGGTGGAGAACCTGCTCAACTCTGGAGCTCACCTTCTGGAAAGGTTTTCTGCTTGTCGTCATCTGAGATGAGGATGTCTGGATGGGAACAAACCAGGCCAGGAGAGCTGAGGTTAATCCCACTGGACTCTTTCCCATCCCCCACCTGCAGCCCCCAGGCTTCCTCCTCCACGCCCAGCCTGGCGGCTTGTCTCAGTGTGGCCTGGGGACCCCTCCATCAGAGTCACCTGTGATGCTGGCTCAAAGTCAGAGCCACTGACGTGATTCTACCTTCTGAATCAGACTCTCTTGTAGAGGACCCTGGAGCCTGCCTTTTGAACAAGCACCTGGGGTGATCACTATGCTGACACTTGAGAACTTCTCTGTAAGGTAAAGGCAGTTGGCTTTGTCCCTCTTTCTTTGGGTAGGATTGTCTGTCTGGTGCCCTTAGCCTTACTCTCCTGTGGTCTCCTCACTCACCTGTCTGCTCCCAATCCTGCCCCCTTCCTGGGTGATTTCATGCTGCATCTAAGAAATGCTGAGACAAGATGTTGCAGTGAGGATACTATAGAGAGGTGTATGTGTGTGGGTGGGGTGAGGGCATCCCCTGATCCCTGAGGACCTGGACCCCAGCTGTATCAGGTGCACATCTTCCTGGGACTTAAATTTGGGAAGGCTGATTGTGTCCCCAGTGCTCACCATTCCATCCAGGGAGGCAGTGGCTGATGCAGATGGTTCACCCATGTGGAGTCAGAACCCAAAGTGTGTGCGTGTGTTGGGGGGGTGAGGCTGGGGCTGGAGGAAGGGTGTAGATCCGACCCTGCATCATGTTCCTGGGGCATCGTGTCTGCCGTTCTATTTGGGATCCTGTGGATATCTCCTGGGCTTCCTCCCGAGGTTATGGGCAACCCGGGGAGTGCCCTGTGGCTCCCTCAGGCCAGCTGCTGAGAGTGGCTTGAGTGGACACTCAAATGAATAGATGAGACGGTGGGGTTGGGGCCGCCCTTAGCCTGGTGCGAAGGACACCTCCACGCTGGGTCCCCTTTGTCCCTGTCCATGTGGGAGACTGTCTCTGTATCTCCCCGGAGCAGCGTTTCTGTGTGTCAGCCGTGCTGGAAGGTGGCTTTGGTGGTGGGGTGCGTGTGCCCTTGCAGCCGGGCGGGGTTTCTCAGCCTTCTCCAAGAATGCACAGAGCAGCAGGTGTGTGAAGTTGCTGGCTCTTCCCCTCTCTCTCTTCTCCAGAGAAGTGGACTCCCTCTCCCCATCTTCCCCTTTCAGCCTCTGCTTACCCCAGCCATTCTTCTTAAAAATCAGCTGCTTCTTCTTATAGGCCAGCACTGTGCCCTGTGGCAGAGTCAACATCTTCTCTCTCATTTTCAGACCCTCTCCCTGGCCTTGACCCTGGGGAGAGAAATTAGGCAGTATGGTCCCATTTACATGTGATCTCTAAACTCACCCATGTGCATGTGTCAGAGACCTCAGCACCTCGTTCCCATCTCACCCCCCCCCCCCCCCCCGGCCTTGATCCTAATTTATAGGTGCTGCTCTTTTTTCCTTCTTGGTCCAGTATTTACTTTCCTATTTCTAGTTTTTGCATTTATATTGCAACAAATTTAATTTTTTTTTCAGATTTAAGTATATCTAGTCACTTTCTCCTTTTGATGATGAGGATTTCATTTTCCTACTCTTCCCTCTCCCCAACCCTCACCCCTCATTCCCCTATCCTTGTAAAATGTTCACATCCCAATATCTAATGTAATATCCTTTGTTTACTGTTGGGGAGTGTGCTTCTCCTCACTCCAGATCTTTCCTATAGCAGTTAATTACTAGGACAGTAGCGTGCCCTCTCTGCCTCTTACTCATCTTTCCAAGGAATGTGGGGATACGTTTTTTGAGACCGTGCATATCCGAAGACTTCTTTCTTTTGCCCTCACACTTGAGCATTATTTTGACTGGTCATAGAATTCTAAGCTGAAATTCCTCGGAAAATGATTTTTGTTTTCCTTTTTTAGAGATATTCGTGATTTTCTTTTTTTTTATTTTTGAGAGAGAGGATGTGTGTGTGCATGTGGGGGAAGGAGCAGAGCGAGAGGGGAACACAGAGGATCTGAAGTGAGCTCTGTACCGGCAGCAGAGAGCCTGATGTGGTGCTTGAATTCACAAACCATGCAATCATGACCTGAGCTGAGGGCAGACGCTTAACCAACTGAGCCACCCCGGTGCCCCATGCTTTTCTGTGTGAGGCAAGTATCATGGTAATTCACACTGATGTTCTGTGGTGCATGTCTCCTTCCCTTTCTTGTATTATTTTTTGGATGATCTTCCCTCTTCTATTGTGTCTCTGTTCTCTCATTCTGGAACTTCTGATTTTTAGATGTTGGATCTTTGGACTAACCCTCTAAACTTTAATATTAATATTCTCATCTTTTTATGCTTACCTTTTTTGGGGAAATATCTATGATTTTATCTTCTGGATTTCCTATTTTAAAAAAGTTAGACTTCTGGTTTCTGGGCTGACTACAGTAAAGAGCTTAGAAGTTGTCACTCTGTCTTACAATCAAGTGAAAAGCTGAACAAACTTTACTGAGTATATTAGTCTAGATTTTTTTAAATGTTTTATTTATTTCTGAGAGAGAGACCGTGTGAGTAGGGGAGGGTCAGAAAGAGAGGGAAACACAGAATCTGAAGCAGGCTTCAGGCTCTGAGCTAGCTGTCAGCACAGAGCCCGACGCTGGGCTCGAACCCATGAACCGTGAGATCATGACCTGAGTCGAAGTCTGACGCTAACCAAGTGAGCTACCCAGGCCCCGCTGAGTATATTAGTCTATAGAAAAACAGCCAATAAGCTGTCTGTCTGTGTATCTTTCTAAAGGGATTTATTGTAAGGGATCTGTTCATGCAGTTATAAAAATTGAAAAGCCCCAGGGTCACCTGGGTGGCTTGGTCAGCGAAGCATCCAACTTTGGCTTAGGTCACGATCTCATGGTTTGTGAATTCAGGCCCCACATCAGGGTCTGTGCTGACAGTGTGGAGCATGCTTGGGATTCTGGGTCTCCCCCTCTCCCCTGCTCACACTCTTTCTCTCTCAAGAATAAACAAACATAAAAAAGAATGTTAAGGGGGTTCCTGGGTGGATCAGTCGGCTAAGTGTCAACTTGTGATTTTAGCTCAGGTCATGTTCTCACAATTTGTGAATCTGAGCCCCATATCCGGCTCTGTGCTGACTGTGGGGAGCCTGGTTGAGATTTTCTCTCTCCCTCTCTCTCTGCTCCTCCCCCACTTACATGCATGCTCTCTCTCAAATCTCAAATAATAAAAACTTTACAAAATTTATAAAGAGAAAAATCCTAAGATGTACAGACCCAGGAGAACTAGTGGTATAGTCCCCATCTGAATCTAAAGGCCTAAGAACCAGGAGTGCAAGTCAGAGTCTGATGGCAGAACAGTGTCCCAGCTGAAAGATACTTGGGCAGAGAGTAAATTCAGGTTTTTCTCCACCTTTTGTCTCATTCAGAACTTCAGTGGATTGGGTGAGGCCTGCCTGCATGGGTGAAAATAATCTGCTCTACCAGTCTACCCTTTCAGATCCCATCCAGAAACATACAGGCACACCTAGAATGACCTTGAATGAAAGACGGTGCACCTCATGGGCCAGTCGTGTTGGCAACATAAAACTAACCATCACATTGAGGAGTGGTTCCTGTATTCTGGAGATCTGATTGACTGTTCATATGTATTATCATGGACTTCGATGTAGAAGTTTTATATTAAGTCATTTTTTAAAAAAGGTTTGTTTATTATTTTGAGAGAGAGAGAAACCAGGGGAGAGGCAGAGAGGGAGAGAGAGAATCCCCAGCAGGCTCTGTGTTGTCAGTGCAGAGCCCAACGCAGGCTTGATCCCATGAACCCTGAGATCATGACCTGAACTGAAAGTAAGAATCAACCAACTAAGCCACCCAGGCGCCCCGTTAGGTGTAGGCGTTATATTTTAATTACGGGGACGAGGGACCCGATGTCAGAAACATGAATAATGGTCTCAGGCAGCCTAGTGAGTAGATGGCTTCTCCAGAATTCAGCCCTACTCTTTGATGAGGAGAATGTCCTGGTGAGTCCAGTATCACTTATGGGAGTCCAGTGCAGAGCAGTGGCGTGGGGAAACGCCGGCACAGCCAGGAACCGGGGTAATCTGCAGGCTGTTTAACAACATCACAGCCCAGGAGCCGTTCTTAGAACCGGCGCCTGCTGTGAACAGCTGGGGCACCGGCCAGACACACAGCTGAGCAGCCGCCCTCTGCAAAATGCCTCAGCGTGCTCTCCCGTTCTCCCCAAATCCAGTCCGCCCACCCAAGCACATGTGAAGACAGGCGTCCTTGGAAATACCCTCCAGACTGGAGTTAAGTTTTGTTTCAAACCTCCTTGTCCACTGGGTGGCGCCTTGCTCTCCTCCAGGGTTAATTCACAGATCTTGGCAAAGTTAGCTCACGTCTCTGTCTTTGTCTTGTTTTGTTTTTTTAGCTCCTAAATCTCTTCAGTGAGGACAAATTACATATAAAATATATTTTGTTTAAATTTCCACTGTTACACACACACACACACACACACACTTTAGATGTCCCTGAATCACAGTTCATGTTGAGTAAATATTTGATGAACTGCTTTGTTTTAAACTTTTTAAAAACATTTTTTAAAATGTTTTATTTATTTTTGAGACAGAGCATGAGCTGGGGAGGGGCAGAGAGAGAGAGGGAGACACAGAATCCGAAGCAACTCCAGGATCTGAGCTGTCAGCACAGAACCTGACGTGGGGCTCAAACTCAAGAACTGTGAGATCATGATATGAGCTGAAGTTGGATGCTCAACCAACTGAGTCACCCAAGTGCCCCATAAATTTTTTTTTAATTTTAGTGATTGTAAGTCATGTATATCATATGTGCTTGGAGATACTTAAACTCAATCCAGAAAACTTTCAACTCAGGGTTTCACGGTATTTAGGATATTTGAACTGATGTGGTTTTGTACTCTGGCCCCTTGTTTCTTCCAGCCATAAAGCTGCATTATGTATGTAGTATAACAACCATACATATAAATTTTTTAAGTTTATTTATTTATTTGGAGAGTGAGAGGGAGGGAAAGAGAGAGAGAATCCCCAGCAGGTTCCACACTGGCAATACAGAGACTGACTCATGAACTATGAGATCATGACTTGAGCTGAAACCAGATGCTCAATTGACTGAGCCACCCAGACACCCCAACAATCATATTTTTAGAGTATCCAGAACCCATCATTTAACCAAAGCAAAATATAATTGCAAATAATTAAATCTATTTCTATTTTATCGATGTTGAATAATCTCATATATGAAAATACTAAAACGAGCATGTCAGAATATACTCTTGGGTCAGGAGTCAGGATTTTTTGGCACATGAGAAGTGGGAAGTAATGACCGCATTCATTCCAGCCCCCAGAGACAGGCCCTAAGAGTATGCAGAGCCCCTGGGAAGTGGGGTTGGGCTGGCTATGCTCTTGGTGTCCCCATCCCACTTCAGGACAACCATGTACCTTGACAGAAGTCATCCAAGGGATGAAGAATTTTCCCATAACATTCACACTGCTGCTGTCATGCAGCACAGTGCTGTTGATCAGTTCCACGGCCTCCGTCACCACATAGAGATTGTCATCTCTGTTCCGGCACTTCCTCAGAAAAAGCAGCTCCTGATCCAGCACTTTCCTGGGGTAGGTGGGAAGAGAAAGGTCTTAGTAGGAAAGGGATACCTTTTTAAAAAATGCTTATTAATTTATTTTGGGGGAGAGAGAGAGAGCGAGAGAGAGCAAGCATGAGCAAGTGGGGGAGGAACAGAGAGAGAGAAGAAGAGAGAGAATCCCAAGCAGGCTCCACACAGTCATTATAGAGCCTGACATGGGGCTCGATCCCATGACTGTGAAGTCATGAACTGAGCTGAAATAAAGAGTTAGATGCTTGACTGACTGAGCCACTCAGGTGTCCCTGGGAAAGGCATACCTTCTTGGCTTGCTGTGGGTTACTCTTTTAAGAACCTGGGGCGCCTGGGTGGCTTAGTCGGTTAAGTGTCCGACTTTCGCTTAGGTCATGATCTCGCGGTTCGTGGGTTCGGGCCCCGCGTCGGGCTCTGTGCTGACTGCCAGCTCAGAGCCTGGAGCCTGTTTCAGTCTGTGACTCCCTCTCTCTCTGACCCTCCCCTGCTCATGCTCTCTCTCTCTCTCCCAGAAATAAATAAAAATAAATAAAAAAAAAAAGAACCTGGATGGGGTACAGAGCATTTGGAATTTGATAGGTGAGTTCTCAATGGGTAGGAAGATATGAACTTACAGGTTAGGTTACTTAGGGCAAAAGAACATCTTCTCTGATGTGCACGGTGGAGGGCCCCCCATTCTCTGACAGGGGTATGGTATGACAGTATGCATACCATATTATGAAAAGGCATCTACGTTTTCCAAAATTATATTGGTCGTGCTAGGGTACTTTGTAGATTTCCAGTACGAGGGCCTCTCAGCAGAAGAGGCTTAAAGTCGACGAGTCCAGGTGATTGAGACCAGTGCTTAGGAAGCCCTGTTGTCAGTGCTGGTTTTGCACACCACACGTGCCCACGTGGAGCAGGCAGATACAGTGTGACGAAGGAGGGCAGGTGCTGGATGATTTTTCATGACTAGCACAGATGGGCTTTCTGAGTTGACTGTCCTTATGGGGGCCCGGGAGTTGTAGAGCTTGACTTGAAGATGTAGGTTGGGGGAGATGTGGACGGTCTGCAGTGCTGAAGACAAAAAGCCATCTCCATTTCAGTTCTGAGACTCCACTCTGGTTCTGGTCCAGGCCCCACCCTGCCTGGTGCCCTGGTAAGAGCCGTGTGGAACACTGAGAGACCCTTACATTTGCTTTTCAGTGCTGGAGGTCACTGAGCTTCCAGTGTCCTTGGAGAGAAATGCAGCTTCTTACCGTGTGTCCAAGGAGTGTGCCATCTGACTCTACTTATCTCCCAAGCTTCATTTTATATCACCTTCATCCTTGTGGATGAAGCTTCCGCTTCCCTGGCCTCCATCCAGCTCTGTCCTGCCCCAGGGCCTTTCAGCTTTAATTTGGACCCCTTTCCACTTTCTTGCTTCTTTCATTCTTTAGGTCTGAGCTCAACTGTTAGCACCAGAGAGAAACCTAAGCCGACCACCTTCAGCATCTCTTTCACCTCGTCCTGTTTCTTATCTTCAGAGCTCCCTTCGTGATTTGTAAGGGCCTTCGCAGCTGAGCACCTGACACGTCCACATCCTCTCCAAATAGCCAGCTGCCTTTTGTTGCTTTATAGGTTTGGCCTCAGCTTACTTATTTCACTTGGAGCTAGCTCCTTAAAATGTATCCTAGAAATGCCCACTTTACTGAAATACTGAGAATTTATTTTTCTTTCTGAGCAGCTAAGGAATCTCAGATACTCTTTTGCACTATAAACAGTGTTTGCAAATGTTATTTTTAATAAGGGCCTTGTAGAGCCCAGGAATACAGAAATCGTCCAATGCCCTGTGAAAGTAACTTTTAGTCTTAAAACAGTCCGTGAGTTTTAGCTCATTGCTTACTTAACAATTTGTTGCCTTTGTAAACATACTATTTAAGTTGGTATTTCTGTTTTTATTAATTTATTTTAAATTTATGTATTTGTTTTGTGAGAGAGAGAGAGAGAGAGAGAGGGAGCATGAGAGAGCTGGGGAGGGGCAGAGAGAGAGTGAGATTCCCAAGCAGGCTCAGGGATGTTAGTGCAGAGCAACATGAGGGGCTTGATCCCATGAACTGTGAGATCATAACCTAAGCTGAAAGCAAGAGACAGATGCTTAACCGACGGAGCCGCCCAGGCACCCTGAAGTTGACTCTCTGTTTTTAGAAGGCATAAAGATGTAAGAATTTCTTCATTGAGCTCTTAGAGATCGTTTGTTACCTGTCTTTGCCTTTATGCATGGAGGTAGATGAAATCCTAGGACACTGCTGCATACCTTATGTCAGCAGAGAGTTGCACATTCTTTGTCTCACATAAATTAATCTTTGTTAATTAATACATTATTTTTTATTGCCTGCTTCCTCACTTCCTACCCTTTGCCTGTCCACACTGAATATGAGCAGCTTTAGGATAGATGTGGGTAGCACATGATAGCACAGTAATGGGTAATTGCTGTTTTAATATATATGTTTTAGGTGACTAATAATTATTTGCTGAATGAATGAATAAATGAATACCCAAGAAGAACAGCATAGTCTTGGGTGTCATTTTCTTCATTCAGAGCCTCAGCAGCAAAGCCTGCTGGGTGTCCCTGCCCATGAAGAGAGCCCAAGGGGCTCTGCTGACCAGTCCTTCCTCTCCCACGGCCTCACCTCTTTAGAAGGTCTTTCCAGTTTTGGGGCGGGATGGTAACAGCCTGAAACTGGAGGGAGGATTCATGGCACTTAGTAGCTTCTCCTGACATGTTCACGTCTAGCACGGCAGTCACATCTGCAGAAGCCTTGTACTTCTGGAACGTGGTGTCACTGAAGAGAAATGGGCCCTTGACAACAGTTTCTGGGGACAGAAAAGGTGACTTCAGGTTTAGCCAAGAGTGTACTTTGGAACAGTTTGAAAATGGAGTGGAAATAGAATGACCAAGTCCTGTGTTGCTTCAGCCCTCTTACCTACTGAAATCTTTCAGAAGCTAACAAAATAATGTTTTAAGTGTAAATTAATGCTGAGGACAAATGTTTGAATCAAACCAAGGGTTGGATAACAGGGATGTTATCTCAAACCCTGAGACTTGGTGACGTCGTGTGTGCACTGGTCACAGAGACCCATGACATCATCTTTCCTCTGCAGCAGGGGCAGCACCTGGCCCCAGGAGGCAGCATGCTGGAGCAGAAAATGTTAAGCATAAGGAGCCAGAAGGATCTGGGTTTGGATTCTAGTTTTACTAGTTCCCAGGTGCATAGCCTAGATGAATTATTTTATAAGTTTCAATATGCTTTCTGTAACTGGGGGTGATGTCCCTGTCTTAAGTATTAAAAAAACTGACAAGTGCTTGGGTCCAGATATTAGTAGATTCTCAGATAGTCATAGCTTCTTGCCCAGTGCCTTTCGACAAAACTGCTCCTGACGTTCACCTGTGTGTGTCTCAGGGATTCGTGCATGGTGCACTACCTGTCTGGGTGTCTGTGCTTTTCACTCCCTGCCTCCCTGCCCTTGTTGGCAATACCTGGGACTGAAGAGCTTGGCTCCAGGATGTCCATGAGGGTGTATTCTACTGGAATATCAGGTAGTTCCCAGAAATGTGAGAGAGTCTTCTTCTTCTTCCGTAAAATTGCAAACTGACGGAATTTGTTGGCACTCAACAGGTATTTCACAGGCCTCAGGTCTTTGTCTCCAAGCTCTTTGACCAAGTCCTTACTAATATTCTCAAACATGGAGGACATGTTGCTAGGGACAGATAGAAGTGGAGTACAAATTTCAGTGGAGAGGGAGAAGAAAGTGGGTAAGCTTTCACAAAGCTAGATATTTTTCCTAAAGAATAGGACATATATGTGGGATTAAATTAGGTCTTAACTTAGAATAGTGACTAAATCATAACTTTCTCAACTTTGGTATTCTAAACACAGCCCAGGCTTTGGAAGGAGGCACTACTGTGAAATTGATTGCTCTTTATGGCTAGAATAGAAAAGCCTATGTATCTCCCCACCCACAACTCAAGGGCACTCTAAAGGCCCAGGGGGCGCCTGGGTGGCTCAATCGGTTAAGCATCTGACTTCGGCTCAAGTCATGATCTCACGGTTGGTGGGTTTGAGCCCCGCATCGGGCTGTGTGTTGTCAGCTCAGAGCCTAGAACCTGCTTTGGATTCTGTGTTGTCCTCTCTCCCTGCCCTTCCCTGACTCATTCTCTGTCTCTCTCTGTCTCTCAAAGATAAAAACATAAATTTTTTTTTTCAAGGCCCAGGAAGTGCCCAACACTATGATCAGCAGAAGAGCCTGAGAGAAAGTTAGGTTGATGTTACAAATCCATGGAGGTCCTCAAAGTGGTGGGCGTGTTGACAATCAGAAAGGGAGGGCCTCACTGAGAAGTGACCTTTGAACAAAGACCTGAGCTGGAACAGGGTGGGGAGGAGGGAAAGACATGGCTGTTTGGGGAAAAGGATGTCAGGCAGAGGAATGAGCAAGAGTGAAGTTCTACAGGAAGGCATACGTGGCAGGGCGACAGGTGCAGGGCATGAGAGACTTATCAGACAGGGAGGCCGAGTTGGGGCAGCCCCTCGTGGGTCTTTATTAAGACTTTGTTTGTAGTTGAGGTGGGGTGGAAAGCTGTTGGAGGGGGCTGAGCTCAGGAATGACAGATGGGACTCCTCTTGAAGACGCCTGTGTTCGCTGTGTTGACAGCAGACGCGGTGAGGCACTGAGAGCACGAGTAGGGGCTCTAGTGGCGAGGGACCGCAGTGAGCGAGTGAGAGCTGATGGTGGATGGGGCCAAGGTGCTGCCACAGGAGCAGTGAGAAGGGCTCGGGTCCTCGGCTGGGCCCCGGGTGGAGCCAACACTTACGGAAAGAGTGGTGTGGCGAGGTGGCCCCCGGGGCTGCTCAGAGCTCGGACACTCGGAATGAGTCAGGAAAGTGCCGTGTATCCATAAGCAGTGGGTTGTTTGTGCGACAGGGAGATGAACAAGGGAAGAAGCTGGAGAAGCAAGGCGGCATGGAGGAGGTGTGGGTCCTGGCAAACAAAGGGGGGCCGGTTCGGGATCCAGAGACTCGATTACATGTACATGTGTCACTCCTTGTGCTCTCAGAACTTGTAAGGACAAGCTGGGTTCTTTTTATGGGCTGCTTCTGCTCTTACAGAAGGGATTAAATGGTTCTTAGTATGTCATACAGAGAGAGTTGACAGTGATTTGAATACTTTGCAGAGATTTAGGCCTTTGTCATGTATGCACAGTGAAGTAGTGCACATACACAAATAAGCCCTTATTTGTAGCTGGAACAGGCCTTAATTCTTCCATAGGCAATTACCTATCTAGCAGATGATCTTCGAAGGACAGAGCTAAGATATCTAAGCCATGTGACCTTGACAGAATCAGAGGGAAATAAGCGAGCACCTGGTTTAGGAGATATAAGTGGCAAAGAGAAGAATTTCCCCTCCAAAGGGCAAACAGATGCATGTTCTTATGCCTCTGTGGTTAAGATGAAGCCAGCCACATTGTACAATCTGTATATACCAAGTAGAGAAGAGCTTTATATGTTTGTGAATTGCCTAAGGTGAGTGCTGCAAAACTCATGCCTCTGAAAATTTTATACAATCTTGCTGTGACTGAAATAGGACAAGAGAATCACCTTCATGAAGGTGGGTTGACATGGCAAAATAATAAACCCAGAATCCTGCATTGTTGTGCTTGGTGGAATATGAATTACTAAGGAAGTTAGTCCTTCTGCTAAGTGTCAGGAGCTTGAATAGGTAGTCATCACCCTCGATGGTGCTCTCATGCTGCCTAAGTATTTTCAACGTCAACAAACCCAGGATCTCCACCAGCCATAGTACAAGAAACAAAGACCAGTGCTCAAGAGGAGAGAGATGATTTCTAGGAAAAGGGATCCTCTGTAAATTGGCTTGTTCGTTCATTTATTTACTCATTCATTCAGACTTTTAACAAGCACCTATGACAGGCCCTGTGCTGGGAATTGGCAGTACTGTGGTGAAATCTTGGGGCTTGCAGCCTAGTGAGAAAGACAAGTATTTACCAAATGATTTCACTAATATATACATGCACATGTATAAATCATGATTAGTCCCAGGAAGGAGAGGCATCTGATGCTCTCAGAACCTATGATAGATTTTCTTTGTTCTTTGGTCAGGGCAGTTAGGGTGTCAGGGGACTCTTTCTTAAGGGAATTCAACAGAGATATTAGGTGAGTAGAAGTTTGCCAAAATAAGAGGGGAAGAAAGTAGAATAAAGAGCATGTACAAAGACCTTGTGATGGGAGACAGTTTGGTCCTTTCAAGGAATGGACAGAAACTGGTATGGCTGGAGTGGAATGAGTGGTGAGAAGGGTGGGAGACAAGGCTCAGGAAGTAGGTAGCAGCCAAACTACGCTGTTCTTTAGAGGTTATTTGGTGTCTTTGTCCATTTTTGTAAGAGCAAAACAAAGTTTGACAAAAACAGAATTGTAAGCAGAGGTGGGGTTAATGTAAAAATGAGTCCCTGGTTGGATGTAACTCTGGCAGATCAATAGTAAAATCTCTTTGGAGTAAAATAGACTCAACACAGCCTCTCAGAAGGCACAGATAATGCCCTGCATAAGATCACCTCACTGTCCAGAAATACAAAGCACATGTGGAAGCAAAGCACCCTTAGTGAGGCTCATCAGATACAACATATATCAGGATTGGATCTACAGAATGTCATAATAATCTGGTAGAGACTATAAGAGAAGTGTGTTTAAAGTATTAAAAGCATAAATAAGGAAACAAAACATGAGAAAAGGGCAAAGTAACATAAAAAGTGACAAGGTAGATTAGAAAAAAAGATTCAAAAGGAACTTTTAAGATGAAAAAATAGTTGTGGATATTAGCTCAGTGAATTAGATAAACAGTTCTAGACCTAGCTTAAGTGAGAATTAGTGAACTAGAAGGTAGATTTTAGGAACTTAGTCATAATTTACCACAGAACTATAAAGAGATAGAAAATAGTATAGAGATATTAAGATGTATGGAGGACATAATGATAAAATAAAACACACATATATGCATATACATACGTAAGTGTGTTTATAACTGTATATATACACACATATATATGGAAGATGTGCATGTATATGAGAAAATAGAAAAATGGGACTAAGGCAATAGTCAAGGTACAATAGACAAGATGAGTCAAACCCACAGGTAATCAAATATTAATAAGATTTGAAATAGTAAGGACAATAGCAGAGCTTAAAAATCTCTACAGACAGTAGATAAATCATCTTTAAAGGAATGCCTATTATATAGAGAATAGGATTTTGAGTTGCAACAATTGATGCCAGAAGAAAATAGAATAATATTTTTAAAGTGCTAAGAAAAAAAGCTCTCCACCAAAAATTCTCATTTCAGGTATACTATCAGGCCAAAATAATGCAAAATAAATACAGTTTTCAGACAGACAAAAAATGAAAGGAGGTATTAATAATTGAATCTTTGATAACAGTGATGTTATTAAGGTAGAATGACATTGAAATTCTAAAACTAGGAGTGAAATCCAAGAAATAAGAGTGAGCAAACAAATGGTAAACACATGTGTGAATCTAAGAAAGGACTGTATCAAGTATTACGTAAGAAATATGTTTATACCAACTAATTTAGCAACAGAAAATAAGGCGAAACCAACATTCTAGATTATAATAACATAGAAGTTAGGGGAAAAGGAAGTCAGAATTAAGTATTAAATATCTTTGTATTTTTTGACAAGGAAGTCAATCAAGGAAGTCAGTTTTACATTTTGTTAAATCAAGTATGTATTAAAAAAAAAATTCTGAGAGAGAGAGTGAGTGGAGGAGGGACAGAGAGAGGAAAGGAGACAGAGAATCCCAAGCATGCTCTGCACTCTTAGCACAGAGCCCGATGTCAAATTATGCCAAAAACAAAACACTCTAATTCATTCCATTCAGTTTTCATCCTGAACATTTCTGTCTGTGACCAGACTATAATCTCTTTTTATTCATCCCGTGATCCTCAATTAGAACTTACCAGATTGTATATTGTTTTATCCTGTTGAGAAAGATTCTCGTTGAGTTGGCGTCCTTCCAATCTTTGGGTCTCCTGATGTCAAGCAGAGTGTGTGTTTTTCCCCCACCAATAGGTCTCTGCCTCAATTTCCTGTGCAATGTCCCAGAAAAATCAGCATATGATGTCCGTCTTCTCTTTCAGAAGACCAGGTCTGGAGCTTAGCTTTGGACCAGAAAGTTTTAGCTTTCAGTCCCACCTCATCAGGTTATATAGCTGATGATGAACCTGTTGGGCTGTCCCAGCAGAAACCATGCCCCGTTCTTATTAACAGAACTGGCTGGACAAGTTTTGATTTGTGGATTCATAGTTGTGGGTGGAACAGTTTTTGGCTCATTCTTCTGTCTTAAATGTGCTGTATGTAAAGTATAACTGTGAGTCAACAAGAAAGGTAAAAAAACTCTTCAGGAAGAGGGACAGGTTCAAGTGCCAGGGCTCGAGGGAGAGCCTCTGAGCTGTCTAGATGTGGAGCTCTGTACAACAGGAGTTTTTCAAACGCCTCCTGTTTGTCAGGCACTATGCAGGTATTAAGTATTCCAATTTTATGACAGTCTTTATTTTAAAGATAAATTAAAAGGAGACATTCAAAGAGTACAAAGACAACTTTCTCCAAATCTGTTCTCTTGCTGATTACTTCCTGTCGACTTCCAGGATTAGGTGAAAGGCCTGTATGAGGGAAACTGTGTGACTAGGAAGGCCACACCCACAGGTTTGGTAGTACCGGGAGCTGTCCCTCAGGCCACATCCCTTTCAGTTGCCAGGAGCTTACGATGTGGGTATTTCACTTCACTTTTTTCTTCTTCACTTGTAATAGTCATAAAAGTCCCACATGAACCCTTCTACATCTTGGGAGTCTGATATCCACTCCCTCCGGGACACAACTCACATTGTAATACCATCAGACCTAAAGATTTACCAGAATTGAGTTTTACTTTCTAGAATTTCCATTTTCAAGACAATAGACTTGAAGTGTAGAAATTGTTTTAATGTTTATTTTTGAGAGAGAGAGCGTGAGTGTGGGAGGGACAGAGAAGGAGACAGAATCCAAAGCAGGCTTCATGCTGTCAGCACAGAACCTGACGAGGGGCTCAAACTCACGAACCACGAGATCATGACCTGAGCTGAAGTCTGATGCCTTCAGAGAGATGGGTGTGAGTTTCTGGGACATAGCAAGAGCGTTTGGACCGTGGTGACAGGCCTGGAGACGTTCCACAAGAGTCTGGACAGGGCAGACAGGCCACAACCTTGGGGCCCTGGTCTGAGGCTTGAAGCGGGAGGACCTGAGGCGTGGCTTGGTCATGGCCAAGCCAGGGACCATCCAGACTCACCAGAAGGTGGAGGCCCAGGTTTACATCCTCAGCAAGGAGGAGAGTGGCCGCCACAAGCCTTTTGTGTCCCACTTCATGCCTGTCCTATTCTCCCTGACTTGGGACATGGTCTGCTGTATATCTTGCCACTAGGGAAGGTGCTTGCCATGCCCGGGGAGGACCTGAAGCTCAGCCTAGTCTTGTGCCATGATCTTAGGGAAAGGCCAGTGTTTTACCCTGCGTGATTGCAGCCGGACCATTGGCACTGGCCTTGTCACCGGAACATCGACCCTGACTGAGGAAGACAAGAACATCAAGTGGAGTTGAGTCTGGACGCTGGTCAGGTGCTCTTGAGTTGGAGGCTGCACTGGTAAGCGTTCTCTCCTACGTCTGATGCCCCCTTCCCAGGGCATGGGCTGCCACCGAGCAGTGCAGCTAGACTGACACCCTCCTGATCAGGAGGGCCCACTGTCTGCCAGCTCAGGGGGGCCAGTAAACTGTTCTGTGAATAGTGAAAAAAAAAGTGTAGAATTTTGATTACATAAACCATTCTTTCACACACCAACCTTCTGAGGGACAGGCCTGCCGTCAGATATTCTAGAAGCCAGAGGACAATAACTCAGCTATTTGGGAAGAGTTATGTGAGTCCAGTGAACCTTGGGTTGCTTTTCTGTTTTCGTCTTTTTGAGTAGGCTTAGAACTGATGAGGTTTGAAACCAAGATCGCCGTCATAAATGGCTGATAGCTTGGCTCGCCCACCTCCTTGCTCTCTACCCCGAAGCACCCTACAACATTCCTGAGGAAGGGCGCAACCAGAAAGGCTGGGAAGTCCAGCAGGTAGCAGCAGTTAAGGCTCCCTGATCCTTCTAAGTTGAGAACAGGCTTTTGCTGGGGAGGCAGCAATCTTGGAAAGCATGAGAAAAAGCTCTAGATTCCTCCTTAAGGGAATCCTAAGTGTATAGATAGCTTGTTTTTTCCTCTTCAGCTGTTGCCTCACTCATGCCAAACCTCACAACAGGATTCTTCAAGTTGTGCACATATCATAGGGAGGCTCTTATCTGGGCATTAGTGGCCAAGAGTAAGTGATGTCCATTTACTTAAGGTTACATAGGGTGGGGGCCCTGGGGGGCTCAGTCAAGCGTCTGACTGTTGGTTTAGGCTCAGGTCAGGATCTCATGGTTCATGAGCGAGCTCAAGCCCCACATCAGGCTCTGCACTGGTGGCACGGAGCCTGCTTGGGATTCTCTGTCTCTGTCTCTCTCTCTCTCTCTTCCCCTGTTCATGCTCTATCTCCTTCTGAAAATAATTAAACATTTAAAAAAAAGTTTAAAAAGATTACATAGAAAGACTGAGGTGGTGGAGGCCATTGAACAGCACACTTTATTATCTTGAAAATTCTCCCATTAGTTACCTTCCCAGGTTAGCCTTTTTCACAGGTTTCATGCAGATCTCTTCTCTCCCCCTCCTTCCCTTCCTTCCCCTCCTCCACCCCTCTTTCCCCCTATCTGACTCACTACTGCTTCTCTGTCTCTTGCTTTCCTGAGGTCCTTCCCTCTCCTTTCCTTCTACAGGCTCTCTCTTCTGTCTTACACAGAATCATAAGGCTGCCCCAAGCTCTTCCTCCCTGAGCCAGCCAGTCCACAAATCGTTGTTGAGTACCAGCTACCTTTTCTAGGTTCTAGGTCTGCATTTCCTACACATTTTCCCGATTCTAGTGCTGGGGACATGGAGGTAAGACAGAGGCCCTAGCACAAAGACTACCCTTAGTGTGGGGAGACAGACTATGGAAAATAAAGGGAAATGGAAAATAATTGTGTCCTTCCAAGTTCTGAGAGCACAAGGAGTGACACATGTACATGTAATCGAGTCTCTGGATCCCCGAACCGGCCCCCCTTTGTTTGCCAGGACCCACACCTCCTCCATGCCGCCTTGCTTCTCCAGCTTCTTCCCTTGTTCATCTCCCTGTCGCACAAACAACCCACTGCTTATGGATACACGGCACTTTCCTGACTCATTCCGAGTGTCCGAGCTCTGAGCAGCCCCGGGGGCCACCTCGCCACACCACTCTTTCCGTAAGTGTTGGCTCCACCCGGGGCCCAGCCGAGGACCCGAGCCCTTCTCACTGCTCCTGTGGCAGCACCTTGGCCCCATCCACCATCAGCTCTCACTCGCTCACTGCGGTCCCTCGCCACTAGAGCCCCTACTCGTGCTCTCAGTGCCTCACCGCGTCTGCTGTCAACACAGCGAACACAGGCGTCTTCAAGAGGAGTCCCATCTGTCATTCCTGAGCTCAGCCCCCTCCAACAGCTTTCCACCCCACCTCAACTACAAACAAAGTCTTAATAAAGACCCACGAGGGGCTGCCCCAACTCGGCCTCCCTGTCTGATAAGTCTCTCATGCCCTGCACCTGTCGCCCTGCCACGTATGCCTTCCTGTAGAACTTCACTCTTGCTCATTCCTCTGCCTGACATCCTTTTCCCCAAACAGCCATGTCTTTCCCTCCTCCCCACCCTGTTCCAGCTCAGGTCTTTGTTCAAAGGTCACTTCTCAGTGAGGCCCTCCCTTTCTGATTGTCAACACGCCCACCACTTTGAGGACCTCCATGGATTTGTAACATCAACCTAACTTTCTCTCAGGCTCTTCTGCTGATCATAGTGTTGGGCACTTCCTGGGCCTTTAGAGTGCCCTCCGGTTGCGGGTGGGGAGATACACAGGCTTTCCATTTGATCCCAAATGAAGGTCAGGGCTCAGAGGGGCCTGCATCTAGGCAGAGAACCTGCCCAGATCTGAAACTCACCTTCTGGAAAGGTTTTCTGCATGTCATCATCTGAGATGAAGATGTCTGGATGGGAACAAACCAGGCCAGGAGAGCTGAGGTTAATCCCACTGGACTCTTTCCCACCCCCCACCTGCAGGCCCCAGGCTTCCTCCTCCACGCCCAGCCTGGCGGCTTGTCTCAGTGTGGCCTGGGGACCCCTCCATCAGAGTCACCTGTGATGCTGGCTCAAAGTCAGAGCCACTGACGTGATTCTCCCTTCTGAATCAGACTCTCTTGTAGAGGACCCTGGAGCCTGCCTTTTGAACAAGCACCTGGGCTGATCACTGTGCTGACATTGGAGAACTTCCTCTGTAAGGTAAAGGCAGTTGGCTTTGTCCCTCCTTCTTTGGGTAGGATTGTCTGTCTGGTGCCCTTAGCCTTACTCTCCTGGGGTCTCCTCACTCACCTGTCTGCTCCCAATCCTGCCCCCTTCCTGGGTGATTTCATGCTGCATCTAAGAAATGCTGAGACTGGCGATTTGTCTAACTATATGATTTAAGTATGGGCCAGGGAGCAGGGTAAAGGGGCAGAATAGAAATGATCCCATAAAGGACACCCCATGGACCAGGGTGTCCTAGTGTCGAGGGGGGTAGGGGGGGTGGAGAGAGCTCCAAGCATGGAACAGTCACGTGTATGCTCTTGGTGACATCCGTGGAGTAAATTCACTGGGGGACAGACTGCAGCAGGTTGAGGAGTGAATGCCAGGGAGGGGTGAGTGCACAGCATGAAGAAAGTTCTTTGAGGAAGGGGCCTGTGAGGGGACAGTAGTTGGGGAGAGCGTGTCACTGGGGGGGACGTTTGGGTGAGGGGATTTATGAGATGGCAGGGACCTGATCTGGTCATCAGGTCACAGGGGAGGATCCAGGTGATATGGAGAGGATGAGGGTGACTTTTGTCAGTCATGTCACCAGACATCCATCTCCACCTCTCACATCTACTCTGGAGAGAAGAGCCCACTTCCGTTTTACACAGGAGATGGCTGACAGGGTCTGGTGTTCTTAGAAATTGTACGGCCAGTGCTGTGCAAACTACTGAACTATTCTACACGGTAAGTTCCTCTCTAGTTGTCATGATGATCACATTAGTTCATGGAAGTCCAAGGTCTACACCCTGGGCCCCTGTAAAGGCTCCTTCTCTTTCCCCTGGGGCCTCCAGTGTGTTCAGCAAGCCCCACTCGCCCCCT